CTAAATCACCCTCAATCCCATGCCTCCGTATTTTCTGCAATAGCCTACCATGGGGAACCTTATCAAACGCTTTACTGAAATCCAAATACACCACATCAACCGCTTTACCCTCATCCACCTGTTTGGTCACCTTCTCGAAGAACTCAATAAGGTTTGTGAGGCACGACCTACCCTTCACAAAACCGTGTTGACTATCCCTAATCAAATTATTCCTTTCTAGATGATTATAAATCCTCTCTCTTATTATCCTTTCCAACACTTTACCCACAACCGAAGTAAGGCTCACTGGTCTATAATTACCAGGGTTGTCTCTACTCCCGTTCTTGAACAAGGGGACAACATTTGCTAGTCTCCAGTCTTCTGGCATTATTCCTGAAGACAATGACGACATAAAGATCAAAGCCAAAGGCTCTGCAATCTCCTCTCTAGCTTCCCAGAGAATCCTAGGATAAATCCCATCCGGCCCAGGGGACTTATCTATTTTCACACCTTCCAGAATTGCTAACACCTCCTCCTTATGAACCTCAATCCCGTCTAGTCTAATAGCCTGTATCTCGGTATTCTCCTCGACAACATTGTCTTTTTCCTGTGTGAATACTGACCAAAAATATTCATTTAGCGCCTCTCCTGTCTCTTCAGACTCCACGCACAACTTCCCACTACTGTCCTTGACTGGCCCTAATCTTATTCTCGTCATTCTTTTATTCCTGACATACCTATAGAAAGCTTTAGGGTTTTCCTTGATCCTACCTGCTAAAGACTTCTCATGTTCCCTCCTGGCTCTTCTTAGCTCTCTCTTTAGGTCCTTCCTGGCTAACTTGAAACTCTCAAGCGCCCTAACTGAGCCTTCATGCCTCATCTTTACATAAGCCTCCTTCTTACTCTTGACAAGAGATTCAACTTCTTTAGTAAACCACGGTTCCCTCACTCGACCACTTCCTCCCTGCCTGACAGGTACATACTTATCAAGGACACGCAGTAGCTGTTCCTTGAACAAGCTCCACATTTCAATTGTGCCCAGCCCCTGCAGTTTCCTTCTCCATCCTATGCATCCTAAATCTTGCCTAATCGCCTCATAATTGCCTTTCCCCCAGCTATAACTCTTGCCCTGTGGTATATACCGATCCCTTTCCATCGCTAAAGTAAACGTAACCGAATTGTGGTCACTATCACCAAAGTGCTCACCTACCTCCAAATCTAACACCTGGCCTGGTTCATTACCCAGTACCAAATGCAATGTGCCCTCGCCTCTTGTTGGCCTGTCTCCATGCTGTGTCAGGAAACCCTCCTGCACACATTGGACAAAAACTGACCCATCTAAAGTACTCAAACTATAGTGTTTCCAGTCAATATTTGGAAAGTTAAAGTCCCCATAACAACTACCCTGTTACTTTCGCTCCTATCCAGAATCATCTTTGCAATCCTTTCGTCTACATCTCTGGACCTTTTCGGAGGCCTATAGAAAACTCCCAACTGGGTGACCTCTCCTTCCCTGTTTCTAACCTCAGCCCATACTACCTCAGTAGATGAGTCTTCATCAAACGTCCTTTCTGCCACCGTAATACTGTCCTTGACTAACAATGCCACACCTCCCCCTCTTTTACCACCTTCCCTGATCTTACTGAAACATCTAAACCCCGGAACCTGCAACAACCATTCCTGTCCCTGCTCTATCCATGTCTCCGAAATGGCCACAACATCGAAGTCCCAGGTACCAACCCATGCTGCAAGTTCACCCACTTTATTCTGGATGCTCCTGGCGTTGAAGTAGACACACTTCAAACCACCTTCCTGCCTGCCGGTACACTCCTGCAACCTTGAAACCTTACTTATGACCTCACTACTCTCAACCTCCTGTACACTGGAGCTACAATTCAGGTTCCCATCCCCTTGCTGAATTAGTTTAAACCCTCCCGAAGAGCATTAGCAAATTTCCCCCCCAGGATATTGGTACCCCTCTGGTTCAGGTGTAGACCATCCCGTTTGTAGAGGTCCCACCTACCCCAGAATGAGCCCCAATTATCCAGGTATCTGAATCCCTCCCTCCTGCACCATCCCTGTAGCCACGTGTTCAACTGCTCTCTCTCCCTATTCCTCGCCTCGCTAGCACGTGGCACGGGTAACAAACCAGAGATAACAACTCTGTTTGTTCTAGCTCTAAGTTTCCACCCTAGCTCCTTGAATTTCTGCCTTACATCCCCATCCCTTTTCCTATCTATGTCGTTGGTGCCTATGTGGGCCATGACTTGGGGCTGCTCCTCCTTCCCCTTAAGGATCCCGAAAACACGATCCGAGACATCATGGACCCTGGCACCTGGGAGGCAACACACCAACCGCGAGTCTCTCTCGTTCCCACAGAATCTCCTGTCTGTCCCCCTTACTATGGAGTCCCCAATGACTAATGCTGTCCTCCTCTCCCCACTTCCCTTCTGAGCAACAGGGACAGACTCTGTGCCAGAGACCTGTACCCCATGGCTTACCCCTGGTAAGTCATCCCCCCCAACAGTATCCAAAACGGTATACTTGTTTTTGAGGGGAACGGCAACAGGGGATCCCTGCACTGTCTGCCTGTTCCCTTTCCATCCCCTGACTGTAACCCATCTACCTTTTTCCTGTACCTGAGGTGTGACTACCTCCCTGTAACTCCTCTCAATTACCCCCTCAGCCTCCCGAATGATCCGAAGTTCATCCAGCTCCAGCTCCAGTTCCCTAACACGGTTTCCGAGGAGCTGGAGTTGGGTGCACTTCCCGCAGATGAAGTCAGTGGGGACACTAGTGGTGACCCTTACCTCTCACATTCTACAGGAGGAGCATGCAACTGCCCTAACATCCATTCCCACTGTTCTGAATTCCCAAACAGACTATTGAAAAAAAAACTAGTAACCTCACCAATTCGGCGCTCAGAAACTTTTTTTTTGGTTAGAGGAGGAGGATGGGTGGGAGACACTACCTAAGTAGTGTTTCGGGTAAAGCAACCGCCCAAATATACTACCTCACTTACTCAGCTGTCCCATGTCCGCTCCTGCTCAGCATGCGCTCTGCCTATTCACGAGGTAAGTTTTTAAAGGATTAACTTACCTTCCCGGCAGCCCCCTGGGCCTCGCTCTCACTGCTCCCGCTGCTGCTGCAAAAATGGAGGCCGCTGATCCCACGAGGTAAGCTTTTAAACGATTAACTCCCCTTTTGTGAGGGAGTCTAGGACCAGACAGCAACATCTTAGAATAAGGATTGCACATTTAAAGACAGCAACGAGGAGGAATTTCTTCTCTCCAAGGGGAGTGAATGTGAGGAATCCTTTACCACAGAGGGCTGTCGAGGCTGGGTCAGTGCATTCAAGGCTGAGGTGGAGAGGTTTTTAAATCAGGAAAGGAATCCGAATTATGGGGAAAAGGCAGGAAAATGCTGATGATCAGATGAACCATCATCTCATTGAATGGCAAAGCAGACTCAATGGGCTGAATGGTCTAATTCTGCTCCCAGGCCTTAATTTATTTCCTGAATTCAATTTCCCAACAGCCCTGGCAGGTTTTGAACCTATGATTCAAAGTGATTCAATCAGCTCTCTAGATTTAGAATCCCTACAGTGTGGGAACAGGCCCTTCGGCCCAACAAGTCCACACCGAACCTCAGACCATCCCACCCAGATCCATCCCCCTATGACCCACCTAATATACACCCTCTACCTCCCTGAACACTACGGGACAATTTAGCATGGCCAATCCGCCTAACCTGCACATCTTTGGACTGTGGGAGGAAACCGGAGCACCCGGAGGAAACCCACGCAGACACGGGGAGAATGTGCAAACTCCACACAGACAGTCGCCCGAGGCTGGAATCGAACCCAGGTCCCTGGCGCTGTGAGGCAGCAGTGCTAACCACTGTGCCACTGTGTCGCCCTGGATGAATTTGCCCTGGATTATAAGTAGGTTAACTAGTACCCTGAGAGGGTAGACTATCCTGAGCTGCGTGTTTGTGGGGTTTGGTGAAGAGGGTCTCATCAACTGGAGGCAGGAATTGTCCAGAAAAGCAACAGTTCAGGCCTGAACAGTGTAAAGTGCAAGGATGGATGAAGACTTGACTGTGTTTGGGAAATAAGGAAATGGTTTGGACAGGATGAATCCTCAAGAGATGGAAAGGACAACATAGGTGTCCCTGCCAAAGTCATTTGCCCAGGATCTGCGGAAGGTCTGTACAATAGCCATTCGAATTCCAAACCCCCACCTAATGTCGTCACCGTATTTTGTAAAACACAGTTTGAGCCTCACCAGCAGCTGCTTGTAATATTCCTGATCTTGGTCATTGAAGGAGTTCTTCAAGAACAGTTGGATGGCCTCCTGCCGACACCGTGAGTGTATACCCGCCAACACCTCATTTTCTGTTGGCATCTTCACCATCAGATCCACCTGCTGCTGGTAGTGAGCAAGGCCATTCTGGAGGGCAGCTGTGTTTTCAATCTTAGCCAGACTGGTTACAGCATGCTCAATGCAAGGTACCTTCCCACTGGCAATAGTTCCCACGTAGGCTTTCGCTAAGCTGGCCAACACTGCAATAGAAGAGAGAACAAAGAGTTCACTACTTAGTGTTTGTAATTATGAAGGTTAAAGGGGGCTGCCCCTCATTGAGCACTGACTAATGTTAAATTGGTTGTGCCGTTCAGATGCTAAAGCTGTGCTCTGAAGGCCACACTGGGAATACGCACAGTGGGATTAGCAATTAGACTGTATCGTATCAATGAAGGAGACCGATTCCATCCATCATTGATCTGGAAGTGTTTGATGGGAAGATTCAGATGGACAACTGAATTGGAAAGTGTTCCTTTGCTCCCCATTGGGTCCCCACACCCTGATGAGTGGCAAATGTAGACAGAAGTGAAAACAGAGTGGGACCTCAGTAGACTCAGTACTTTCTTGTTGAATCGATGAAACAACCCGATGGATGTAACATCAATTCCTCATTGAGCCGACAGACAAATTCATCCTATTGTGCTGCACTTACTTCGACCATTGATGTTATGGCCACCTCTGATTGTTTTCGGCTGAGATTCACGGTAGATGTACTGACAGAACTCATGGCAAACCGCAAGGAACTTTGGGTCCAGCTGACTTTCCGGGAGTGTCTCCACCTGGTTTAGATTGGTGCTAGCAGTCGGCTGAACAAAAACAAAACATTTGCGGGACTTGAAGTAGTTCCTGATACACTCCCGGGGCTGGTTGTACTCCATCACTTTCTTTGCAACTCCTGCATTCAGTGAAAAGAAACAAAACCACATCCACTTTGGGTTTCAGTATGACCATACAGAATTGCATGAAACAAAGTACCTGAAATCCCTTTCCCACATCCCACTTTTTTTCTGTATTGCTGACACACCTTGAAGTGATTGTAATAATGTCAGACAGCTGGACTTCATAGAATATGAGTTCCCTGATTGGGGTGGTTAATCTGGTCCAATCAGGGAGCCCTGGCTGACAGATATAAACAGGAGTATCAGAGGTTCTGTTCACTCTGAGAGCTGGCTCTGAGGGAGATGGATCAGTGTCAAGGACTCTCCACATGTAAATAAAGGGTGACTTGGTGACGGGATACTATCCTCTGTGGAGTTATTTCACTCCTTACCCAGTAATCTCAACCAGTCTCAATCGTAGAAAATTTCCATTCAAACAGTATCAGCACCTTTTGGAGGAGGGTTTGAGATTTTCACTCCTGTACGTGTGTGTGTTTGTGTGTGAGGGGGTCTGTATGTGTGTCTGTGCATGCAATGTGTGTGTGTGTGTGTGAGAGAGTGTGAGCGCATTCAATGCTCAGTCCTGATGAGCTCCCTAATTTTAAGGATGATAAGGAGATAGTAAGAACTGCAGATGTTGGAATCAGAGTCGATACAGTGTGGAGCTGGAGGAACACAGCAGGTCAGGCAGCATCAGAGGAGCAAGAAAGTCGAAGTTTCAGGTTTACTGATGAAGGGTCCCAAGCCAAAATGTCAACTTTCCTGGTCCGATGATGCTGCCTGACCTGCTGTGTTCCTCCATTTAAGATTGCTAAGAAAGCTTGCTGTGGAGTCCTGAAGCAGAGAAAATCATTTCCCTGCCCATACACAACTGAAGCCCACCTTCATTTTAATTTGATTATCCAGACCCCTGAACTTTCGACACTCAGTTGAATACAAGACAAAGTTTATGCAACCAGCCGGTATCATTTTGCCATTTTAGCCCTGCTACCATTCTTCCTCTCCAAGGTCAGTCGTCCCTATTAAGCTGTAGTTTGAGGGGATGCGGAGGAGATTTACTAGGATGGCACGTGAGATATGGGACCTCAGCATGTGGATGTTGCAAATGCAGGTCCCTTTAAGGCTCAGAGAAATCAGCTCAGATTTGATTGAGGACATTGGACTTTGAACTTCAGAGCTGAGTTCTTCAGTGGGTGCCGGCTTCTCGACAGGGGGAGGGTGTGAAAGGGAAAGGTGGAAACTGATGTTAGTTCTACACTACAGATTTACAATAAAACCTTCGTAAAACTTTGAGACTTGCTGCCTCATTCAACATTTGAATACTGGAGAGACTGGAGAAGCCGAGATTGGGCGGAGAAAGACAGGGGGAGATTTAAAAAAATGATGATGGGGCTTTGATGGAGCACATACACAAAATCTGTATCTACTAGCAGAAGGGACCAGAGACCCGAGATTCATGGTAATTTGGGAACAGAGTTAGAGGGGAGCGGAGGAGAGTATTTTGTACGCAGCGAGTTTTTATGATCAGAAACACAGTGTCAAAAAAGGTGATCAAAAATAACTTTCTAAAGGCAACTGGATTATCATTGGAAGTGGAATAATTTCAGGCTTGTGGAGAAAGGGGTGTGCTTTCATTGGCAGGATGGGTCGAATGGTTTCCTGCTGGGCTGTATCATTCCAGTAGTGCACTAGCCCAGGATAGAAAGCTCTGGAGGTAACAAGCTGTTGGAAGGTGTAACACAATCTCACTCGGGTGACACACATTGGATACATTGGGCTCTCACCTTTCTTGAGTTGTAGGCCGTGGTTTAAATAGTCATCAGCTGTGACACTCTGGCCATCGATCTTCAGTTCCAGGGTGAAATCCCGCACTGCCCACACAAAGGCCGGTGAGACCTTCAGTAAATCCAGCTCTTTATCTTCATCGTCATCTTCTTCATCAGCCTTCACTTTGATCAGCTCCGTCAGATTGGAAACAAAACTGGATTCTGTTAAGGAACTGAAGATCTACTGCTTTAAAGGCAGCACCTTGGACAGTGCTGCACACCCTCAAAAGGGCACTGGACAGGGTAAACACAATGACCAGGGAGTCCAGAACCAGGAGTTACAGTCTGAAGATACAGGGTTGGATATTTAGGACTTAGATTTCCTCCCACAGTCCAAAGATGTGCGAGTTAGGGTGGATTGGCCGTGTTAATTACCCCATAGTGTCCAGGGATGTGCAGGTTAGGGTGGATTGGCCGTGCTA